TCTGTAGAGCCCACGCTTTCACGATCGAGTGATCGAGGACAGCGCGACGACGACGACGACGACGTCGCGGTGGCGGCGGCGGCGACGACGACGACAAAGTCTCATCTTAGAGCCTTGCGTGGGGGGGTCTCCGGGGGTTCTCTTGGAGGGTCTCTTGGGGGTCTGTAGAGCCCACGCTTACACGATCGAGGGATCGAGGACAGCGCGACGACGACGACGTCGCGGTGGCGGCGGCGGCGACGACGACGACGATCCAGCGTAATCCAGGCCCCCAGCGAATCCGTGTGTTCTTACGTATGTGCCTATAGATTAGGCTTCCCAGGTCCACACGGCCCCCAAAGAGTTCCCTCAGGGCCCCCAAAGAGCTCCAAGACGGTCCGAGAGGGCCTTGGGATCGCCCGAGGCAGCATGCAGCACTACCGACGGTACGGCAGCAGCGACGACCGTGCCTTGCGCTTGTGGGACATCTGTTTACTCGGGTACACACGATACCTGCGACGCCAGCTCCAACACGTGCGTTCAGGCGAGTTCTGTTAGATGTATGGGAGGAGGAGGAGGACGCAGAAGAGGAGGAGGAGGAGGAGGAAGACACGTGTCAAGTCCTGCATTCGAGCTGCGCCTTCTTCCCGACATGTTGGCACACCCATCACACGTTTCGTGGCCCCATAGGGAGCTCCATTTACGGTCCAAGTGGCGCAGCTCGCATGGCGCCACCGCCCCATTTTGGCACACCCCTCACAGATTTCGTGGCCCCTCAGGGAGCTCCACCTGAGGTCCAAGTGGCGCAGCTCGCATGGCGCCACCGCCCCTTTTTCCCGGAAAGGGCGTGGGCCCAGGGTTCTCTTTTAGTTGGTTAACCCCCCGGCCCCCCTGCGACTTGGGCCGGCGAAATTATTTTGCGAGCGGGCACGCACGGAGTAGGGCCGGCGAAATTATTTTTGAGGATGTCTCGAGCGAAACGCTTGTTTTTCAGAGTTTGTTGAGGATGTCTCGAGCGAGACGCTGGTTTTGCAGAGTTGGGGATGTCTCGAGCGAAACGCTTGGTTTCAAAATTTGTTGAGGATGTCTCGAGCGACACGCTGGTTTTGCAGAGCCGACCGCGACACGGAAAAGCGCCCCTCGCGCAGGAATTCCAAGGATGTCTCGCGCGTGCCGCGTCCCGCGCGCAGGTATTTGGATTTCTTGGGATTTTGACAGGATGTCTCGAGCGAAACGCTTGTTTTTTATAATTTGTTGAGGATGTCTCGAGCGAAACGCTGGTTTTGCAAAATTGGAGGATGTCTCGAGCGGGGGCCTCGTGGGGGGCCAGAATTCATAGGATATCTCAGGCGCAATGATTGTTTTCGTGTCCCGCTCGCAGGAATTCCGAGGATGTCTCGCGCGTGCCGCGTCCCGCGCGTTGGAATTCGGATGATTGTGACAGGATGTCTCGAGCGAAACGCTTGTCCCCAGCACGTTCCGTAGCGCGTCCCCTTGGCAGGTCCCGCGGTGCGTCCCCATGGCACGTCCCTTGGCACGTCGCTTGGCGCGTCCCTTGAGACGTTCTGCGTCGCGTCCTCCTGGCATGTTCCCCTGTCCATTAGCTCTGGGGCAGCTACTATGTGTTCAGGCAGCTCGAGCTTAAGATCCAGATCAGTTCGGTCAGGACTCGGATGCAAAGGAGGACTCGATCCACGAGGCTATAGAGCACAATCGCGCCATGGCACATCGCAATTCAGCACGGCGCAGCACAGCACTGATTTCGGCACGGTACATCAAGGTCGATGCACTCAGCATTGCAACTTGGCACGTTCCTTGGCACGTTCCGTGGGGCGTCCTTTGGCGAGTCCCCCTGGCACGTCGCGTCGCGCGTCCCCTGGCACATCCCGTGGCACATCCATTGGCACGTTCCGTAGCGCGTCCCCTTGGCACGTCCCGCGGTGCGACCCCATGGCACGTCCCCTGGCACGTCGCCTGGCGCATCCCTTGGGACGTTTCGCGGCGCGTCCTCCTGGCATGTTCCCCTGTCCATTAGCTCTGGGGCAGCTACTATGTGTTCAGGCAGCTCGAGCTTAAGATCCAGATCAGTTCGGTCAGGACTCGGATGCAAAGGAGGACTCGATCCACGAGGCTATAGAGCACAGTCGCGCCAGGGCACATCGCAATTCAGCACGGCGCAGCACAGCACAGCCCTCGGCAGGGTACATCAAGATCGATACCTTCAGTATTGCATTTTCCCGTCACCCAATCAGGTGTCTTTGAAAACGCTGCCATGTGTTACGGTTCTACATTCCTTTCCGGGTTCGTGGGTCGATCATGTTCCCGGAAAGGGCTCGAGCCCAGGGTTCTCTTTTAGTTGGTTCCCCCCCGTTTTCGACGGCTGTAGGGCCGGCGAAATTATTCTGCGATAAATTACGTGCGGGAGCAGGGCCGGCGGAATTATTTTTGAGGATGTCTCAAGCGAAACGCTTGTTTTTCAGAATTTGTTGAGGATGTCTCGAGCGAGACGCTGGTTTTGCAGAGTTGGGGATGTCTCGAGCGAAACGCTTGGTTTCAGAATTTGTTGAGGATGTCTCGAGCGACACGCTGGTTTTGCAGAGCCGACCGCGACACGGAAAAGCGCCCCTCGCGCAGGAATTCCAAGGATGTCTCGCGCGTGCCGCGTCCCGCGCGCGGGTATTTGGATTTCTTGGGATTTTGACAGGATGTCTCGAGCGAAACGCTTGTTTTTCATAATTTGTTGAGGATGTCTCGAGCGAAACGCTGGTTTTGCAAAATTGGAGGATGTCTCGAGCGGTGGCCTCGTGGGGGGCCAGAATTCAAAGGATGTCTCAGGCGAAATGCTTGTTTTCACGTCCCGCTCGCAGGAATTCCGAGGATGTCTCGCGCGTGCAGCGTCCCGCGCGTAGGAATTCAGATTATTTTGACAGGATGTCTCGAGCGAAACGCTTGTCCCCAGCACGTTCCGTAGCGCGTCCCCTTGGCACCTCCCGCGGTGCGTCCCCATGTCACGTCCCTTGGCACGTCGCTTGGCGCGTCCCTTGAGACGTTCTGCGTCGCGTCCTCCTGGCATGTTCCCCTGTCCATTAGCTCTGGGGCAGCTACTACGTGTTCAGGCAGCTCGAGCTTAAGATCCAGATCAGTTCGGTCAGGACTCGGATGCAAAGGAGGACTCGATCCACGAGCTATAGAGCACAATCGCGCCATGGCACATCGCAATTCAGCACGGCGCAGCACAGCACTGATTTCGGCACGGTACATCAAGGTCGATACACTCAGCATTGCAACTTGGCACGTTCCTTGGCACGTTCCGTGGGGCGTCCTTTGGCGAGTCCCCCTGGCACGTCGCGTGGCGCGTCCCCTGGCACATCCCGTGGCACATCCATTGGCACGTTCCGTAGCGCGTCCCCTTGGCACGTCCCGCGGTGCGACCCCATGGCACGTCCCCTGGCACGTCGCCTGGCGCATCCCTTGGGACGTTTCGCGGCGCGTCCTCCTGGCATGTTCCCCTGTCCATTAGCTCTGGGGCAGCTACTATGTGTTCAGGCAGCTCGAGCTTAAGATTCAGATCAGTTCGGTCAGGACTCGGATGCAAAGGAGGACTCGATCCACGAGGCTATAGAGCACAGTCGCGCCATGGCACATCGCAATTCAGCACGGCGCAGCACAGCACAGCCCTCGGCAAGGTACATCAAGATCGATACCTTCAATATTGCATTTGCCCGTCACCCAATCAGGTGTCTTTGAAAACGCTGCCATGTATTACAGTTCTACATTCCTTTCCGGGTTCGTGGGTCGATCATGTTGGTGTGGGCACGTCCCCCGTAACATCGCAAGACCCATCGAAACCCAAGAAACCCAGGGCACCCTGGAGGCAAACAGAGGGTTTCTTGGCATGGGCTTCCAATGTACAGCGCAGAAGAACCGCTCTCATGATAGGCATCCCGACAAGCGACACCCTCCGTGGAACGCCTCCGAGGAAGGCATGGAGCAGGGCAGGGCTCTCTCTCTCTCTCTCTCTCTCTCTATAGCAGAGGCGCAGGACTCGAAAGGAAAAGCCAAGGGTGGTAGGCGGGGTGGTCCTCGGCCTCCTTGTCCTCCTCCCCCGTTGCCACGCCTCGCATGCTCCTTGCTTCACCCAACCATCTCCGTTTGTGGGCGTTTTCTTATTTAATCGCTTCGCTCATTCCGCCGGCCCTGGAGCCCTCTGTAGGGCCTCTTGGGGGCCTCTTGGGGACCTCTTGGGAGTCTCTGGGGGCTCCTTGGCGGCGTCTTGAGGGCCCCCAGGGCCTCTTGGGGGGCTGTTGGGGGCCTCTTGGGGCGGGAGGGGGAGTAGTCGATTGCGGCTCCCCCCTCGGAGGCCACGATCCTCGTGAGAGGTGTCGAAAAATGGCCCTCCCCTGGAGTGCTCTGATGGCTTCTCCCTGGACCTTGCCGGGGTACTTTTCGTCCAGGGCCCCCCAGGGGCCGCTCCGCGCGCGCGAACTAGAAATATTGTTAACCAGTTACCGGAGATCTTAGCACGCCTCTGGCCCGTTGGGCCGGCGAATTCGGCGTTTCGACACCGGGCGGAAGGGGGGGGGAAGGGGACGGGGTCTGGCTCCGGACCTCTGCTTGATGCGCCTATTTGCAACAGTGCGTCCTATCGGGGAGACTCCACCTGCTTGAAACATACGCCGAAAACAGCCAAGATCTACTCCAGGGGGGGAGGGAGGGTGCGAGGGCCCGCAGTGATAGGCAACACAACGAATAAGAGACAGACCACCTAGCATACTCGATGCTTCACCCAATCATCTCCGTTTGATGCCAGAACCAATGCGCCTTTGATGTGCACGGTCTCGTGTTTGCTCGCCTGCCACTAGAAGCCCCGACCCTTTCCTAAGGCCGGTTTTCCATCCCGAGCTGTCTTTTCACGGTCCTGGGGCCCGGCGAGGGCCAACAGGGGCCGAACATGGCCAAAGCATCCCGCTGCGATCTTACCAGAGGTGCACGCTCGCGCGTCTCTCAAGCTTTCCCTCGGCCTCGGCCGCGGATCGGCTCCGCCACGAAGACGTGCCAGCAGTTGGCCTCCTCCAGCCCCGGCGCCGCCCGCACGAGCTCAGGTGTCGTCCGCATCAACACGGGCGGCGCCACCTGCGCAACGCAGCAGGTGGAGTCGTACATCGCCATGCCCGACGGCTTCTGGACTTGCGCCAATGCGCTCGAGTGCATATTTGGCTCGCCGGGCAGGAGGGTTCAAGAGGCGTTGCCTCTCAAGGGAACCCCTGGGAAGCCATCAAGGCAACCTTCTTGTGTGGATTGGGCGGGATCTCGCTCGACGGACGCTCTCTAATAACGGAAACTTGCTCAACACAAGCCAAACATTTCTCCCCTTCGGAAAAGAAAGGTGTCCGTAATAAATCCCAAGCGTGATGCGCATCCCGCCAAATAATTGCGCTTTGGCGTTGTCTTGGGGTCAAGTTGAAAGCGTCGACTGCGATTCCAAGAAAACTTGTGTTGCGGCCAAGGAGGCCCTATGCTGTGTTGACCACGTGCTTTGGGTTACGCAGGCCGCCAGCGCGGCACACTGCATGAGAGAAAGGGCGCTCGAAACGTAAAATTGCGCGGGCAGCTTTGTTCTGAGTCGCTCAAAACCGTGGGTCCATGGAGCGTGCCCCCTAAAGAGTTACGGGCCCCGATTCGCAAGACTACACGTACCAATAGAAGCACTCTGCGGGTGATAAAGAGGTTGGGGAAGGTGGGTGTAGCTTTCGGTTTGCGGTTGGCGCCAGATCGGGTTCGCGACATATCTCACAACGCTACTGCATACCAATCGGTTTCACTATCTAGTGGTCCCACACTATATTCCATATCCCTGACCCAACGTATGAAACAATATCTACATCAGCCGATCCCGCGATTCATCAATAGATGTTTGATTTACGCTGTATATCATCATATACGTTATCCGCCACCATGCGCTGACGCCCGAGTTGGACTGCCCCCAGGCCCCTGGCCGAACTTATCCCTGAAGCTCATTCCTCAATCCTGAAGCATCTTGAAAGGGCGCGGACCCAAAGTTCTCAACTATCCCGGGGTTTGCCGCATGCCTCCCAAGGCGCGTCACGGCTCCTCGCGTGGCTGTTTCGGCCGCGCGAGGACTCCCAAACGAGACACAATAATGCACCCACAGGCCCCCAAGACGGTCCAAAAGGGCCCCGAATCGCCGAAAGATCGCTCCAAGACGCACCGCAAATTTGAGTGCCCATTCGCCTCGCATGGCCCTGAGGGGCCCCCCAGGATGCGGGCGCCCGACCCGTCTACCCCGCAGCGCGCGGCCTCTCCGAGCGGAAGCCCGTCGGGCCCGCGGGGGGGAACCCACGACTCTCAACGGCCCTTGGGCCACGCCTGGCGCTGCCACCCTCTGCCCACGCGTGCCAAGGTGCGCCCGCGCGCGTGCCGTGCATCCGCGTCCCGCGCATCGCGCGGAGCTGCTTCGCCATCGCCATCGTCGCTGGGCGACTTTGCCCACTGGGCTTGGACGACCCGCGCGAAGAAAGTCGGTGACCGTGCCTTCCTGGGCCGCGATATCCTTCGCGCGCCCGCGCCTGAAGACACGGGCGCCGAGTGGATCCGCGACATGGCGCCCCATTTCGCCCTGCGCGCGGCGCAGTCGAGCGCGCGCTGCGCCCGGGGACCGCGCGGTCACGAGGGCTGGTGAGCTGGCGCGCCACTCGGCCAGGCACCGAGAACATGCGCGAGGTGCGTGACCGCCCGCGTATGGCACCAACACCGCCGCAACATAACCGAACGGCGATCGCGATTCTGTCTCCCAGAGAGGCGCAGCTCGATTTCTTGGCCGACGACGACGAACGCCGAGGACTCGCGCGCCGCGGTCGCGCCATCTGCAGTCCGCGCCGCGGCCGGGACTTCCTGTTTGGACGCCCGAGATGGGCGCGGAAAGAATGGTTGCAATGCCCAACGGCAAATATTGTCCCAAACAAACAGCGGCCACTGTTGGGCAGGCGGCCTTCTGTCCCGAATGGACACAGGCCGCGGCGGCGCGGACAGCGAGTCCTGTTCAAAATGAACAGGAACTGCTGTTGGGCGTTGTGCCCACTCTTTCCGTGCCCATCTCGTTCGTGCAGATCCTGCGGAAGCAGGAAGAGGAACGTGTGAGCCGCGAAGCAAAGCGCGGCGCATCGGCGACCCTCCTTCGCGGCCGCGGAGAGCCACGCGCACCTTCGCTTGCCAGCCCGAGCGCTTCTCTATGGCGTTCTTGGCCGCGCGAGCCGCCGGGCGCCCAGGGGCCCCCGCGGGCCTCGCCCGCCATCTTCACCGTCGCGTTGTTGATGGGGGCGCCGGTGCACCGATTGGTCGTTGACTGCGGAACCACCAAGACCCGCAAGGGGGAGCAGCGCGCCGTCGCCGCCCTGGCGCCCGCGCGACGCTCCGCGCGCTGTGCGCCGCGGTGTTTTGCCCGCGTAGTGGGCGATGAAGCGTCCGAAACGCTCGAGGGCGCCTGCCTTGCGATGCTGGCCCTGCGACGGCCGATGCGGATCTCCCGCGGGCGCAAATGGGCGCGCGGAGTGGACCTGATGAGGGGGGCCCAGGGCGACGGGGGCGGGCGCGGCGCGAGCGCGCGCGCGTCCTGCGCCCAGAGAAGCCGGCGCGCCGGCGCGCTGGGCCGCCGCGATGGCCGCGCGGAGCGCCTCGCCGCGACGAGCGTCGCTCGGCAATGCCGCGGCGCCCCTGAGAAGCTGCCGATCCGGTGGCGCAGGCCAGATCGCTCGCGGCATCGGCGCCGCTGTCGGCGAGCAGCGCAGCGGCGTCGAAAACCGGAATGGGGCGCGCCCCTGGGCAAACCGCGCGACGCAGAGCATGCAGACCTGGCCGCGCCATATATTGCGAGCCCTGATCGCGCCAACCCTGGGTGGCCGCGACAAGCGCGCCGACTGCGCCGCGATGCGCGCGCGCTCGCGTCGCGAGGCGCGACCGCGTCGCGCTCGAGGGGCGACCCCCTCGCCCGCCAGACACGGCTGGCTGCCCCATACTGACAAAAGAGGACGCAGTGCACTCGCGCTCGGCGCCCGAGCCCGCCATGGCCGGCGGCTGCCAAGCGCCGTCCTGGATCGGCAGGCGCCCCCCGCGCGGCGCGTTAGAGAGCGCGACTCGCGCGAGGGCAAGTCGGCGTCATTGGCCGCCGACGCCGCGCGGTGAAAGCGCAGGCTGCAGTTTGCGCTCAGCGCCATGCGCCAGATTGACTGGGGCCAGGCAAGGGCGGGTAAACTCTTTCGCCGCGCTGGGCCGAACAGAACCACTCGCCGCGTGTGTTTATCTGACGAGATATTCACACATCGGCCAAACAAGGGCTTCTCGAAACTGGCGGGGTCCAGCGCGATGCCGGGCGCCCCCCGATTTGAATCACATCGGCTCTCCTGGCAGAACTGGAGCAGGGGCTCGAGAGGGGCGACGTCGGTGAAGACTGCGAGCGCCCGTAAAAAAAAGCCGGGGCAATCCTGGCCAGGTAGCCTCGCGGGCTCGATCGTAGCGGCACAGACTCAATGTCTGGCGCCTGTCGCTCTCGCGCCGCGGTGGAAGTGCCGGGCAGCGCTTCGAGGCGTCGTGGTCGACGAACTCGCTGGTGCTCCCGGATACTCAGTTTGCGCGCCCGCGCGCGCTCGAATGACGGCGGGAGCGGCGCCCGCCCAAATCGCCTCGAAGTGTTGGAGGCGGCCCGACTAGAAACGGCCTGACAACTTTGCCGCGCGCCCGCGCTCGAGCGCGCCTTTGTGAAGGGCAACGGCGATCTCGGTTCGCCACCCAGAGCGCTCGTCCGGCAGCGGCCAACGCGCGAGGCCTCTGTCGTCAATCGCAACAGAAAAATCCAGGACGCCGAGCGGACTGCCGAATTGCGGCTCGCCGTCGGCAACCGCGCGGCACATTGCATCGCGCGGTCCTCCCCCTCGCCCAGATAACGAAGGGCGGGGGCGAAAATGTGCCCGCGGCCCAGCGCGGTCAGCATTGCGCCGACGCGCCCCCATCTGTGAGCGGAGGATGTCGCTCCGAATGCGGCGGCGAGGTGCTGAAGCACGTAGACGCATGTGCCCGCGAGAACGGCAACCCACGCGAAAACGCTATGCTCAGGCATCGGCGGACGCGCCGGAACGCGGCGTCGGCATCCGCCTTCCAAAGCCTGGGTGCCTCGCCCACGCGCGCCGCAAAAACTTTGCATGTACCAAACGGGCATCGATGGCCTCGCGACCGAGCCGCTCCCTATGCTGCGACGCCGCGTTCGGTAGAAAACGCTGCATATCATCCACAAACCGCAGCCTTTCGGACCCGTCCTCTCGTATTTGCCTCACGCCGACGGGCGGCGTGAAAACAGAACCTTCGTTCTTAACCGCGCTGATCTGCGCGGGTTGGCTCATTCGGCCTGGCCTTCGGCCGCAGTTTTGGCAAGAGTCCCAGACGCCTCGCTGGACTCGCTGCACGCGCCGAGCAGCGCGGCGGTGCTGCGCGCCGCGCCCGCGGGCCAACTCGGCCGAGCTGAGCGGTGCAGGGGGTGACTCTGGTCGCCCGGTCTCCGCGCAAGGGGAGCGGCCCCACGACGGGCGCGCCGCGCTGGAAAACCTCCACGCAGGCCGCGTCGTCGTTACCGACTTCGCCCGGCAGTTCGACGAGAAGGGGGCCGTTGATCGACCCCGCGACTGTGCGCGCGTTGGCGGCGCAGGCCGCGAACCAGGCCGCAGTCGCCCAGATGGCGCGGAGCTCGGCGTCCCTGGTCCGAACTCGCTCGACAGTCGCGCGCCGCTCGCGGCGCGCCCGCCGCTCCAAGCGCGCGGCAGTCCAATCGGTTGCCGTCCAAACGTCGCCGTGCACTGCAACGGCCTTCTCAAGCACCTCACGCGACAGACTCGGGGCGGCCACGGGATAAGCGCTGGGCGACCACGGGAGGGCCACGGGCCAACCGTGGGACAACCACGGGACAACCACGGAACAATCTCGGGACACCGCTCTAACTACCGATCGATCCCACTATCATTATACCGATCTCAATGTGATTGTCCGGTCGATCCAAAGATGTGTCAGTATTTGATAAATGTGTGGATCTTGCGATGTTTCTGCGGTCTCACGACCGATCTACTGGTTTCACTGGCAATCCGCATAACAAAATCACTAGGCATTGACTGGTCCCGCGGCCCATGGATTTACAAACGACACAACCACATGATATCCACGGGACAATCACGGGACGCCCATCAAGATCACCACATGACAACCATCAGGACAACCACGGGACAACCATTAGGACAACCACAAAACAAAAACAAACATCCGACAACCACGGGGCAACCACGGGAAAATCACTGGGACCACCACAGGGCAACCTTGGGACAAACATAAGGACAACCGCTGGACAGCCACTGCCGCAAGACAACCACAAGACAACCACAAGACAACCTCTGGACAATCACGGAACAGCAACGGGACAGCTCACGGGAATGCCCCGCCAGGTGTGGGGAAACAGAATGTCCTCACCCGGGGGCTTCCGTCCTACGGCAAGAACTCGCGCGACGTCGTCTCGCCTCGCCCGCAAGCTTGGCGGAAGGACTTCGTTTCACTTCGGTCACAAGACACCTCCTAGCCCCCGAGACGCAGGGAGAGGGAGAGAGACAGAGAGAAAGAGCGAGTCAGAGAGAGAGGGAGGGAGAGGAGAGAAAGATAGAGAAAGAGAGAAAACAACAAAAATAAAAAAGGAGATGGATAGAGAGAGAGAGAGAGAGAAAGAAAGAGGAGAGGGCGAGGCAGAGGGAGCGAGCGAGTCAGAGCGAGAGCGAGAGAGAGAGAGAGAGCATACAAGCGCGAATGCAGCGCCACCCGTAGCCTTTTGCCACCGGGAACCGGACGCGTACAAGAAGCAGACGGACGCCCACGAACCCCCCTGTCCGAGGATCCGTTGCAAACTCTCGAACCGAGGCCGAACGTGCTCTATTCAATTAACAGTTAATCATCGATCCCAAGGAAAATATGGGAAAACATGGGAAGCGTGGGGAAGACGAAAACCCAGAACATATGGGACAATATAGTGAATCCTCCCAAACTGTGAGGACCCAGACTGGGCGCAGATGTCCACGCAGTGGGCCCATATTTTCTTGAGCCCCCACCTGGCAGTCGAGCGCGCAGGGCAGGCGCAGCAGCCGACTGGCGACGAAGTACCAGAAATAGTGGCCCTGGGAATGCTCTCAAAACCTACACGTAGTGGGCCACATGCGAACCCTACCCCTACCCCCCACGATTTCTGAGGGGGAGGGTGGGGTTCGCACGTGGCCCCCTAACACGGGCGACGAATCGAACCGGGTCTTGCGCGAGATTGCATGGCGACCTTACGCGGTGGCTTACGCAGGCCGCCAGCGCGGCGCTCCACATTGAAAACGAGGGCGCTCACGCGCGACCTTACGCGGGCAACGGACGCGCCACTGCTGAAGACGATCCCGTTTCTTCCGTCGCTCACATTTCCAAGAGCCGTCCCAAACTTGGCCCAGGGCCCCTTCCCAGGTCTGTACCAGCCTCTGTCTCGAGCCGCGTCCACTCGTGGCAGCGGGCCAGGCACGCTACACAGACATCCGAAGCGAACTCGTCGCTTCCTTCTACCAACCCCTCCCGTATTGAGTGGGAGGATGGGATGGCCTGGAGGATGGAATTGGTCTGGAGGATGGGAATGGTCATCCCGCTTCAGGGGGAGGATGTAAATGGCCTGGACCGTTTTGAGACGTCTGGGCAAGCACGACGTCCTGGAAAGAGAGAGGCAGAGAGAAGGAGAGAGGAGGAGGATACAGGGTGGCACACACCAGGGCATCATGTGCCCGCAAGCCCGCTGGGTGCGGCCAATTCCTGGCCCCTTCTGAGCCCTCCAGAGGAGGGGCACGAAGGCGGGAGAAGGGGGAGAGGGAGGTCGGGGGGAGCGGGGTGGAAGAGGAGAGAGAGGAGGAGGAGGAGGAGGAGGAGGAGGAGGAGGAGGAGGAGGAGGAGGAGGAGGAGGAGGAGGAGGAGGAGGAGGAGGAGGAGGGGCGTTTGACCCCAACTGCCTTGCATGTTGCACGCCAACAGGGGGCAGGCGGATCTGGCCTTACCCATCGTGCGTCAGGGTCGCGTGACCCCCCTGACCACGCTTCTCACTGTTATCCATCTTTCTTGATTCAGGGCTTCGCAACCCCCCTGACCACAATCTCTCGCAACCATTCGTCAGTCTTCCGAGCCAGGATGGCACAGGTGCCAGATGGCGCGCACAGCGTTGTCCAGAGTCTAGGCGCGCATCGCGGAGGCCAAAAAGACGTGGAGACCAGTCACAGCGCACAACAGCCGCCAAAAAGCTCGATGACGACAAAGCAGGCCAACAGACGTCGATATGGACATGCCAGTGTGGACATCAAGTGGCCTTGCCGAAATGGACTTGCGAATGCGGTGCTCACTTCAGCCAACGTGTTCGATCAATGGGTATCGGACGCCTCCCAACAAGCCAATGAAGCCAGCGCAGCAAGCCGTGGCAACCCCAGCTCCGACGAAGGTGCTTTCAACACAAATCTACATCACATGCGCCCTTGGGCGCTCGAGAAAGCGAAGAAGCGTCCGAGATGGAAAGAACCGCGACCAGGCCCAGTACATGATCGTGTCAGGAAGAACCTGGACGCACTAGCCGTTGCAGTCTTGGCGGCGGCGGCGGCAGGGACAAGCGGCACAGAGGCCACACTAGAGATCGCGATGTGAAGGCGGCACTGGTGTCGCGCAAGAAGCTGACCCAGCAATTGATGCATATGCGTGCCAGAAAGAACTGTCAAGACGAATGGCTAAGAAGGATGAAGAAAGAGAGCGCAAGACTCGCAGAGGACGAGACGGCAGCGCAGAGGGAGAGCGACGACATGGCGAACCAACTTGTAAAGCTCGAGGACCTTCGCGCCAGACGAAGAAGCGGCAGGGGTTGCAGATGGTTCCTAATGTGGTGGTGCGTGGCCGTCTATACCACCATACCAGCAGCAGAGCATGGCGCACGGACGGCCTGCGCCATGGCAGAGCAGCACTGCGCAGGGGCCAAGTCGTTCCAGGGCACCTGACGCAGCCCCCGTACCAAGCGAGCGGCTTCCATGCAGCGAGGGAGGCAACGGCCAAGGGGAAGAGGCAGGAGCAAGTGGCCCTTTTTCTACCGCCCGCGCAGCCACGGCCACCTCAACCGCAGCCACCACAGGCCAACGTGAATGGCTCGACAGCAGAGCAGACGAGTTAGCTCGATGGCATGATGGCTACCATGGCCAACAACGACGCCAAGATCGACCAGCCTCTTTCTTCCGTGATGCGGTTCCAGGGGCCGTGGTGCATGGCGCGGCACCAGTGCCACAAAGTGGCCCCAACGCCGAGCCGAGATCGGGGTCGAGGTCGCCTTTGGCAGCGGTGGCTGCACCTACGCCATCAAGTGCACCGCCAGGGACCCCAGCAAGGAATCTGAGGAGATCGAGTCCATACCGTTCACGGGCACAGCTAAACCAACTGCGCCAACTCGAGACATGCATACAGTAGGAGCTCGACCTCAAGAAACCTTCCACAAGAAACCCAGCCTTGGGTTCCCAGGACGTCCATCGATTGTTGGTGTGGGAGCGTCACGCTTTCCGTGGCAAAACCATCGACACCCAAGAAAACCAGGGCACCCTGGAGGCAAGCAGGGTGTTTCTTGGCATGGGTTTCCACTGTAGTTATGCCATTTCTTGTTCCAAGAATGCAGCCAGAGCAAGGCAACATGCCAAGCCCGTCGCAGTCCATCACGGAGCAGCGCGAGGCGACCCAGCCAGATATGAGTGGGGTGGGTGTACTTCCAGCGGCGCAGGCGACTGGGATGGTCAATTTCTAGCGGCACAGGCGACTGGGAGGGGTATACTTCCAGGCGTGCCGACGCCGCAGGCGCTCCAGCAGGCGAATGCAGCGGCAGCGTCGTCGGGGCGGCGGCAAACCTATGGACGAGGTGATCTCGGCGGCGCCGGCCAGGTCATCAACCGAGGCCTTGCCGCTGAGGGTCAGCCCGCCCATGAAGGACCAGCGAGGCGACGGCAAGGTCGTAGTCGGAGCGGAGGAACTGAGCCGAGAAGGATGAGAGTCAGGTTGGATTTTGAAGAGCAGCGGCCTTTTCTTGTGCATTCTTGCCTCTCATCTTCTCCCCTCCCCTCGGCGTCAGACCCACACTCGTCAATGTTGCACTATTCCCCTGTGGCAATATCTTTGGAGGCACTTTTAGGGTCACAGCAGCTTGAGAGCCACGGTGCTTCGCCCCAAGATAGAACACCGGTGATCGTTAGCTCAGAGGGGGTCTGGTAGACAGGGAGTCCAGGTCCAGAGGCTGTCTAGGAAATCGTGCAGGATCCAATGTGACTCTGAAGATGTTCGTTTTTGTCCATGCTCACCGATATTTAAGCAGCCGAACTCTATACACCGACGATTTTCCCGGCCCCGCACTGGAACTCGCACAGGAAAACGGATCCTGGTGTATACGGGATCATGGTGTATACATTTTTTGTTGTTTCCCAGGGAAACGGGGAAACAAACATACACCACACCACCCCGACGCCTTTCTCGACCCTCCAAAAGTTCGGGGATTGAAAAACAGCCCGCCACTGGTAATGTATATGCTCTAGTTTCCGAATATTCGTGTGCTTTCTCTCCTTGCGCAGGGATGTGCCTACGGAGGAGCCTCACCAGTCTGCGAGGCTTGCTGTTGCGCTCGGAGCCCGGCCCGAAGCTCCGCACAATGCAGAGGACGCCTGCTGGGACGGATCCTGGAAGCCAGAGAGCAGCCTGAGATGCACAATTTGCGGTCGGGCAGGTGTTCCTACAACTTGCCGTCGCTCGGACGTCCATTTCCCGTGCATCTTTCGGTTTCGTGCGTGTTTTGTTTGCTCGATGGTCCAGGATGGTCCTCGATGGTCCTCGCCGAGAAAAAATGCACACGTGCGAGCGATGCCAAGGCCATGACCGTAGCCGCCAGATCACAAGGCCCTGCTGGACATACTGAGTCGGGCATTGGTAGAACTGGGTCTAATGGAAACTGGTTTAGTGATCTGTACCGGGGGCGCCCCCCCGTCCCATTTCCACTAACCGGAACTGCCGTCACCCTAAAAAACGCCAGCTATGGCAAACCTGGTTCAGTGATTCTGGCCAATTCGAAGGCTCCGGGGCCCTATACCACTAAGCGGGTCCCCCTATCTGGGGTCCGGGGTCCTGGCCATTTCCACTAACTGGAGCTGCTGTCACCCGAAAGACACCAGTTATGGCAAATCTGGTTTAGCGATTCTGGCTAATTCGAAGGCTTCCGGGGCCCTACCACTAACCGGGTCCCCTTACCCGGGGTCCTGGCCCTGCTGGCCATGCTGAGGTGCACGCGTGCGGCTTCCTGCGGGGGCAGGCCGTCGAGACGGGCCCCCCGACCGGCCGGGTCTCTCTGGGCAGCCTCCAGCACCTGTCTCGGGACTCTGGGGACCCATCGTCAGGTCGGGCGTGTTCCCCTGCATGGGGATTTTGGGCTACAAATAAGAGATACTCAAAAAAATCCCCCCAAATGCTCAAAAATAGTCAAACAATCGTCCCCAGACTATTTTTTGATTATTTTTGAATATTCCCCCTATAGAGAGGCACGCCCGACGTGAACCTATCGGGGACTCGTTTGGATCGTGTCGGGGGCCCTTGGGGATCCTGGGGGCCTACGCTCGGCAGCGTATGGGGTTACCCACGTTGATAGCGCCCACGAGTTGTGTCTCACGTTGATAATGATAAGACCACGGCAGTTGGCCTTGGCGAAGGTGCAGGCAGTGGCAGCAGAGGTGGATAAGAAGTCAACGCAGGTCACCAGGCATGCAGACAGGTGCGCACAGCAATTCGCTGATGTTCGGGTCTTGCACGTGAGGTCTCACATAAGCAATTCGTGGAGCGAATGCGCCGACTCTTTGTGTAGGTGCAGAGGCGCGCCGAACATTCATGTCACGCCTCAGGCTTTAGAGGGCCTTTATGCCTAAGCCCGCTGTGGTGAGCAAGGCCACTAAGGAGGTGAGAGTTGAGTTCGTGCGTGCGTCGTGCAATCCCCTGTCTGCTCAAGATAGAGACCCCAAGACCTTCGAGTACCGTCCTGTTGGTAATTAAGGTAGTGGGCAAGACGGCTGCGTGGATTCCAGAGGCGTGCAGGACCCAGGGACCGCACTTCAGGGCTCAATCTAAGGAAGTACGGGTGCTCACGCTTGGGGTCCAGGAGGCCAGGAACCCGGAGGGAGCGAGGAGGCCGCATTGGTATGAGATCCTTTCGTCTGGGGATGCGCCTGGGAACCTGGGGTGCGAGTTGTGGACTGCACAAGCGAGGAGGAGAACCGTTTTTCCCAAACCAACCCGCGGCGTTGGGTCCTCGTTTTGAAGAGACAGCGCCACGCGTCTCCCTCCCTCCCTTCCCCCCCCCTCCTCCCATCCCTGCTTCTGCCCTTCGCACCAGTCAACCATTCCGGCACATCCCTCACGCGCTTTGTGGCCCCATAGCTCCACCGAAGGCCCCATCGGCTGCGTTCGCATGCGCCTGCCGCATCCAATTCGGCACAACTCTCTCATGCTTCGTGGCCCCATAGAGGAGCTCCACCGAAGGCCCAGGCGGCTGCGTTCGCATGCGCCTGTCGCACCCATTTCGGCACACCCCTCGCACGTATCCTGGCCCTTTAGGGAGCTCCACCAAAGGCCCCCGTGGCTGCGTTCGCATGCGCCCGCCGCACCCGTTTCGGCAAACCTCTCACGTTTCGTGGCTCCATAGGGAGCTCCAGCGAAATCCTCAGTAGATGCTTTCGCATGCGCCCGCCGCACCCATTTCGGCACACCCCTCACACGCTTCGTGGACTCATAGGAAGCTCCGCCGAGGGTCCCAGTGGCTGCGTTCGCATGCGCCCGCCGCACCCATTTCTGCATACCCTTCGCACGTTTCGTGGCCCCATAGCTCCACCGAAGACCCCAATAGCGGTTCTCGCATGCGCCCGCCGCACCAATTTCCATACACCCATCACACGTTTCATGGCCCCATAGCGAGCTCCACCGAAGGCCCCAGCGGCACACGTTTCGTGGCCCCATATGGAGCTCCACCTAAGGCCCCAGTGGATGCGTTCGCATGCGCCCGCCGCATCCACTTCTCCAAATCCCTCACGTTGCGTGGCCCCATAGGGAGCTCCACCGAAGGCCCCGGTGGCTGCGTTCGCATGCGCCCGCCGCACCCATTTCGGCACACCCCTCACACGTTTCGTTGCCCCAGAGGGAGAACCACCGAAGACAATACTCACAACCCCTTTACTCGCAACTGCATATGGCTTGGTCCGCGCCATGCTAATCTTAGCACGCGGGCACGTGCAAACGGTGCGTGCCGACCCGAGGCGTGTGCTAGTGGCAGTGAGAGCGGCGCAGTTCAGCTACAATATTGCTGTCCTGCATGGGGCCACACGTGGGTAGTTCCAATGACGAAGGGCTGGGAGATTGGTGGCACACCACTGCTGGATTCTATCGGCAGGTTGGGCCCCATCGGATCCGAAGTTGTGGGGGACAAGGGACAAGGGGTTCGCACAACAGGAGGATTTTCCAGGGGAAAGTGCCTTCAGAGTCATTGTATGGCCACTAAGCTCGTTGCTTTGAGCACTGCCATGCTTCAACAAGGTGACGCCCACATTTGGGTTGCTCATAATGGAGCGCTGCCCCGTCTTGACCATACGTAGCACCCCCCATGTGCGGATAAGATATACGAGTGAGGGCGCGGCGGGGACGTCGGCAATCTGCGAGGCTCTGAAGAAGGCAGCCGTAAGCGCCTAATTGTCACAGATTATGACACGAGCCCGCCGCAGGCGCCGATTTATTCGTTAAAGCAATGTGGGTGTGCTGCGGGTGGGTCGCGGGCGGGTCGCGGGTGGGTCGCGGGTGGGCGGCGGGGACGTCGGCGGTCTGCGAGAATCTGAAGAAACCCGCCGCAAGCGCCGAATCATCAATTTATACAACGAGCCCGCTGCAGGCGCCGATTTTTTCGTTGAAACGTTGGTGGGTGGGTCGCGGGTGGGTCGCAGGCGGGTCGCGGGCCAGGTCGGGGGTGGGCGGCGGGGACGTCGGCAGTCTGCGAGAATCAGAAGAGAAGCCCGCCACAGGCGCCGAATTTCCGAACTATGCAGCGATTCCACCGCTGGCGCCGATTTGCTCGTCAAAGCAATGTCGGTGGGTCGCAAATGGGTCGCGGGAAAGTCGCGGTTGGGTCGCAGGCCGGGTCGCAGGTGGGTCGCGGGTGGGTCGCGGGTGGGTCGCGGGCCAGGTCGCGGCTGGGAAGAAGGAAGGGGCGTTCTGGCCACGGCGAGTCTCGGCCAAGAGAAGGCTCTCCGACGGAACTCTCAGGAGCAGAATGGAAGCGAAAACCACAGCGCATCCTGAGTCAAGAGTGGCACATATTTCCGCGTTTCGACCATGTGCGCGCGCACACACACACACTTTTGCGTCGGCGGCTGGGCAGAGGGCGACTGCTCTGGCGGATTGGCTCACACACACAAACACAAACACACACACACACACAAGCACAAGCAAAACCACAAACACAAAAACAAACATAAGCACAAACACAAACACAACACACACACACACACACACACACGCTCACACACACACGCACACTGATCCTCGCCACACGTCAATCCAGGGCCCAGAATCGGTGTACACTGTGCACGCCTCCCTGGCCAAGCCAGGAGGGCGTATGCACCATTCCTGTCGGGCGCTGGCGGGACTGGCTTCAGTGGGACCCGGTTTGGTGACGTGTACGGAACTGCCGTCACCCGATGAAACACAAGCTACGGCAGACTTGGTTTAGGGAGCCTGGTCGACTTTTGCGGCCCCATTTTTGTGCCAACCGCTGCCCTTACCTGGGGTCCCGGCCATGGAGATCCGATCCTAGGCCTGGGGATGGCGCCTGGCACGAACCAGGTGCACCTGCACAACACTCTTCCGCACGACGGGCAGGACGAAGATCGGGAACGGCCAAGAGGGGGGTGTCCAAGAGGGGGGGGTGCAAATCATGACCGGCGGCATGTGCGCGGCCCAGCGGGGGGGTCAGGGACGTAATGAAATAAGAAGAGGCGCCATGAAATCTGGGGAAAAATCATGGCCCCCGCCATGATATCCACCCCCTCCTAGTCATCACCCCCCTCTTAGCCGCCCCCGAGAAGAGGGGCCGCCGGCCGGGCCGCCGTCCGGTCCGGTTCGCACGGGGCCCGGCGGGCCCCAGAAGCGTGCGGGAGGTCCCACACCTCGACCTGCTCCTTCAGGGACCCGTGGGAGGGTGTTCTGGAGATCGGCTCCAGAGTGAGGACGCCGACGCGGACGTCGCTGGACCGGGCGGCTTTTGACAGGCGGTTCAGCCAGAGCATGGAGAGGACGACCCGCGCGCCGGAGGCGAGCTCGGCGCCCCGGAACTGGTAGATGCTGAGGTCCTCTAGGAACGCGGTAGACAGCAGCCTCTCAATGTCGTTGTGCCCCAGCAACTTCGAAAGTGCGAAAGGCATGGAGAGCCCCGACATGTGCGCGGAGAACGCGGCGGAGGCGGTCTCGACGCTGGCGTCCGCCATCGCCCTGCGGTCGAAAACGACGAGCGCGCTAGGAACCGTTGGGCTGTCCTTGAAAATTGCTCGCACCTGGGGGGCATAAGGTACCATTATCGCTGCCATGTAACGCACACTATGATTAAACTCACTATTTAGAATATCGAGGTATCTCCTCCGTATAATCTCGCATCCTTCATCCTCCTCCTCCCTTGTCAGAGAGACGTAAGGTCAACCAAGAAAACCGATCTTCGGCGCGGGCGTTTGATCTGTTGGCTCGCGGTGGACGTGACAGTGGCGGCGGTCAACCATGAACCCCTCTCTATATCCCTCCTCATCAGATTCGCTTCTCCTCTTCCGCTGGCTCCTCCGTTCCTCCTCCTCCCTCATCCTCCTCCTCCTTCCGCTGCTGCTGCTGCTCCTCCTCCTCCATATCCTCCTCCTCCAGCTCCCTGCTCTTTGCTCCCTCCCTCCTCCTCGCCGCCTCTTCCTCTGCCCACTCTTCTCTCTTGCTGCTCCTCCTCGTCCCATCCTCTTCCACCTCCTCCTTCCCCCTCTGCGTCCTGCTGAACTATCGTCATTCATCCCCGCCCTTCTCCACACGCTCACTGCCCCCGCCGTCCCGCGCCTCCCACCCCAGGAAGGCTCCGGACAGGTCGGGGAGGCCCGCGCAGGACCTGCAGCCGTCGTGCTACAGTCAACCCGTATCATCAGGATGCGCGGTAAGGATGCAAGGGCCTTGGAGGGCCACGTCAGCATCTTTCGAACGAGGATGGCCAGCGCCAGTCGCTAAGGATGGGCCGAAGGGGCAAGGATGCAAGGGTACCCTTGGGGAGGTTGCCCATCCTGACCCTGCGGGTTGACTGAACCGTGGGGCACAACGCACGCCGAGGAACGAAGGGGCCTTCCTGGCAGCGGCGAGCCTCGGCCAAGAACAACCTGCCGCCCCCGACCTGGACCCGAGACACGGCCGGAACACCGGAGCCCCACCTGAGCCTCACGCTGTCCTTATCCCAACGCTTCTGGATGCAGGACGCCTAAGAGAAGGCCACAGGGGGCCCGAGGAAGCCCGGGAAGCCCTGAGAACCTCCAGGACGCTCCGTGGCCACATGGGGCAAGCGAGACACCGGGAGGCCCCTGGAGGACAGGCAAACATTGGGAGCTCCCAGGAGGCCGAGTGAACCACTGGCGGCCCAAACATCGAGCACACGCTAACATGGATTAGGGATCCGTGGATCTGGCGATTGGGAGCCCGATCCACGGATGGGGGAAAGCACCACTCGAATCACGAGGCCACTGCCGCCTGATCTGGCGACGGAGCCCGCCGATTCGGTACTTCCGAAAACGAAAGCCGTCGCTCGAGAATCCAGGCGCACTGATGGAGGACCCATCTAGGAGGCCTAGACCTAGAAGGTCGAGGTTCGCACAGGGGCTGGCCCCCTCTCGAACAAAAAACCGAAACCTTTCCCAAACCATCCGGAGAGCCTCCTGGAACCCCTCTGGGAGGGTTTTCGGAGGGCGTCGGCCACTTGAAAAAAAGCCAGGCCCCCAGCGAAACCTGTGCTTTCTGAGCCTAGACACCTAGACTTCATCAGTGCCGCGCTTCCTCGAGCGACGCCCCGCTGCCCCCCCAAAAAAAGTGACGGCGGTGCCGAGGATGAGGGAGCCCGTCGGCCGTGGGCGAACACACATACGCGTACACGCGGCCTCGCGGGCTGGGCCTCCGTGGGCCACGACCCCGCGGGTGCGGGGCGCGGATCCGCGGGATCGCGCCCCGGAATCCAGACCACGCAGGCGCGGAGACGGACATGTTCGCCGCTCGTGACCGAGGGCGTGGGCGCAGGGGGGAGGCGCGGCGCGAGCGGCGGCGACCTCACTCTCTGGGAGCTCCCCACGGCCCCGAGGGCGCCCCCCCCGGGGAGGCGCCCTCCCCCCGACGGTGCTGCGGCCAGTTTTTCGCCGCGACGCGTCGGGCGCTGGTCTCTGACACCGCGTGGGCCGTGCTGGAACGACCGCGGCCCTCCGACAGCGCAGATCGGCAAGAGTGACCCTGCAGTCAGCCCGTATCATATGGATGCGCGGTAGTGATGCGAGGGCCCTGGAAAGCCATGCTGACGCGTTTTGCGAACGGCGTTGGCTGGCGAAAGTTGCTGAGGATGGGCCTCGGGGGCACGGATGCAGTGGCAACCTTGGAACGCTCGCTCATCCTTCCTGTGCGGGGTGACTGCAGGCCAGAATGACCCTTGGTGCGCGGCTCTAGGGGCCGCCAGGGGCCAAAATCCGAGTGCGCGGGCCAAACCTGGGGCTGAAAGTGGAGAGGGGCCGCAACATCGCGCATGGGGGCCCCTGCTCGTCTCCGAGGTCGCGGCGCTTGGGGGCGCTCCCCCCCTCGCGTTGCTGTGCGATTTGGCTGGCTGGTCCGGCTGGCTCGGGGCGGTCGGTGTCGAACCAGGAGGCCCAGCAAAACGCGAGAGCGACCTAGACATCCTCTGTCGCGCTTTTGTTCGAAATGCGCAGCGTGGCTCCCCAGAGCTGTGGACCCCCTCCCCGCGACCTGCTTTGCATCCCGAATCGTGTTCGTTGACGGCCCCTGGGGCAGGGCTGGACCTAAACGTTGTTTTTCGTTTTGTTTTCGTTCTGTGTTTCGTTTTGCTCTCCCTGTTTTCTTGTGCCTCCCCGCCAAGACGAGAAACAAAGCACAGCCGAAGTCCAGCAAAACAGCGTTGAGGTCCAGCCCTGGTTCGCAGCGTGGCCCCCCAGTGCTCTGGACCCCCTCCCCGTGACCTGCTTTGCATCCTGAATCGTTCTCGTTGAGGGCACCTGGGGTTAAGTCGGGCGTGTCCCCCTACAGGCAGATTTTGGACGAAAAATAAAACATACGCCCAAAAAGCCCCAAACATGCTCAAAAACAGTACAAAATCGTCCCTGTATTATTTTTTGACTATTTTTGAATTTTTCCCCCGTAGAGGGACACGCCCGACTTAACCCTGGGGGCCTGGCGAGGGCCCCTCGGAGGTGCCGACAGTTGAAAAGAACGCCCGTCGTGATGTTTTGCAGGCGAGGGAAGAGAAACGAACAAAAACATGCAAATGCATGTTCGCATGTCTGCATGGATGTCTTGGATTGGCACCAGGCCCCCTTCCTGGCGCACGGAGCAAGGGGTGGCACCGGAGGCGCCACCAGGGGAGCCCAGCGCCGATGCACGAGATCCGCGCGGACCTCCGAAAGTTTGTGTCCATGCAGTGCTCACTTCCTCGGGAGAGAGGATGTCAGCGGAGGGCAATAGTGAGGTCGGGAGTCTCCTCCTACAGGCGGATTGTGGACGAAAAATAAGGAATAGTCAAACATATACAACCAAAATAAGGAGTATGACAAATCGTTCCCATACTATTGTTTATAAACCTGTTTTTGAATATTCCTCCTGTAAAGAGACAGGCCCGACTTAAGGCAAGAGATTGACACTCGGCTTTGCACCCCGAAGTGTTTTTTGGTGAGCTCCTCGGGGCCTGGTGAGGGCCCCCAGAGGCCGAAAATTGTCGAGAACCCGACGCCCTGTTTTATGTTTTCTGTTGTTGTTCCTTTCCTACTCTTCCCACAGCGAGAGGATGCCAGGAGGAGGAGGAGGAGGAGGAGGAGATGGAGGAGGAGGAGGAGGAGGAGGAGGAGGAGGAGGAGGAGGAGGAGGAGGGAGGGAGGGAGGGAGGGAGGGAGGGAGGGAGGGAGGGAGGGAGGGAGGGAGGGAGGGAGGAGGAGGAGGGAGGAGGAGGAGAAGGAGGAGGAGAAGGAGGAGGAGGAGGAGAAGGAGGAGGAGGACGGGTCGCCTCAGCCCTTCGGAGAAACCCCCCAGCCCCTCACCCCCCGAAGCCGTGGGCGAAAAACATGTGCGTAGCCGCGGCCTTCTTGCGGGCCTGGGCTCCCGGGCCGGGGCCCCGCGGACAGGGGGCGCTCGCTCACGGCTGCCCTGCGCCGAACGTGCACTCAGTATCGCTTCACCGACCCCCCTCCCTGTCCTCATCCCCTTCGAGGCCCCCCCCACCTTACCACCCCGGTTGGGGATCCACCCCTCGAAGCCCGGAGGGAACGGCCCATATCCTCGTCCAGTGGCCAGTGGGGCCCAGGCCACGCCGCTTGGGATGGGGATCGGTGAAACGATGCCCATGCGCGGTTGTGAATCCGCGGGATCGTGCCCCGAAACCCAGACCGCGAGGGCGCGGATGCGCACGTGCTCGCCGCTCGTGTTCTCCTTGGTTTTCGGGCCAGAACGCTCTCTGGCGGCCGTTCGGGACGGTCCGGGCAACCTGGGAACGCCCGCGGCGAGGCGCAGCCGCTGGAACAGGGGGCCACATGAGAACCCTGCCCCTACCCCCCACTATTTCGGAGGGGGGGGGGGGTTCACCTCGCTCGGGAGCTCTCGAACGCCGTGAACCCCCCCCCTCCCCCTCCGAGATCGTGGGGGGTAGGGGTGGGGCTCGCACGTGGCCCCCACATGGAGGGCACCTGGGGGCTGGAAAGCCGCCGCGAGGCAGCGAAGACGCCCCCCCCGAGTCCCCCCCCCCCCCGAAGGCCACCAGCTCCGACAGCCAGGGCGCGAGCTGCAGGAGCGCGGAGCAGCTGTGCAGCGCGGGGTCCCACGCGGCCCCGGAGCGCTGCGCGGCGCTGTGGAGGCCGGACGCCGCGCTGACGGACTCGAGGGCCTCGCGAGGGAGGGCAGCTCCCGGCGCCAGAGGTGCCCCATGACTGTCGAGGAGCACGCCCGGCTTTTGCGACTCGACGCTGACGGAGGCTGACTCGGCGCTCCTCGCCACGGATTGGTCGCACCAGAGCGGCGGCAGCTCGTCGATTCCCAGACGCCGATCGGAGCTAAGTTACTTACGCGGGTGCACAAGGCTCCCAGGATTTGCCACCGGACATTTCCTGTCGCCCCCTCTGAATGGGGCCCAGGGACAACAATATAAATGCATACAAATCCCATGATTCCAATCTTTCTATATATACATATATTATGGATTCTCGCCATCCCTCCCACTTCCCATGTTTTCCAGATTACCAGGGAATGGGCGGCCATTTGTGTTTGTGGGTTTTCTTCCCTCCTGACCCTCGTCCGACCCGCGAGAGGGGGAGCCTCGTGGAAACGAGCTCTGGGCTCCGGGGCTTCTCCCAGGACCTTGTTCATCCTTTGTGGACGTCCAAGAGGGGGGCGTCCAGGACAGGGTTCGCAAATCATAGATCGAGGCATGTGCGCGGCCTGGTGGGGGGGGGGGGTCTCGGGGTGTGTGAGACGCTGTCGCCGCCTTCATCGTCGTCGTCGTCGCAAGTCCCAAGGCAATTAAGACAAGAACGGGAAAAAAGGAACGTCGTAGTGAAGTAGATGTTCTCCCCTCCTCCCCTCCCTGACGGGGGGGGAAGGGGGGGGGGATAGGGGGGAGGGGAGTACGGGGAGGGGTGCTGGGGGTGTAGGGGTGGGCAGTGCGGGGAGGGGCTCGCGGGTGAGATCACCTCCCTCACGGGGTCCCAGTGGCCCTCCCCCTCCCTGGTCCCCCCTGTGGACAGGGAGGACAAAGGGGGTCGTAGGGGGGTCTCGGGGGAAGTCCCGCCTGTGGTGGGGTAGGCTGGTCGCGGGGTCAGAATGCCGCGCCCCCCCTTCGGCGGTGGACAAACCTCCCTTTAGTCAACCTCCCGCGAGTGAAAACGGCCTGGGACCGAAACCGACGGACCTGGACCCACAAAAGAGACGGCCGCGACGCCCTCTCGCGAAACGAGAACGGCCAATTCGCTAATCGACGTGTCAGGGTAATTAGGAGATCTGTCCACCCCCGAGTCGTAAGGGGGTCTCGGTGGAAGTCCCGCCTGTGGTGGGGGAGGCTGGTTGCGGGGTCAGAATCAGAAGCCTCCTAGATGGGATCGGAATAGATGGGGTCGGAGGATCGCGCCGCAACGCCGAGACATCGGCGACGCATCGGCGATGCTTCGGTGATGCACCGGCGATGCCTCGTCGACGTCGGCGATGCATCAGCAACGTCGACGCGGAGCAAATCGGGCTGCACATCGAGCCGCATCCGCGATGCGTCGGCGATGCGGCGCGATCCTTCGACCCCATCTGCTCCGGCCCCATCTGGGAGGCCTGGAAGAATGCCGCGCCCCCCCCTGGGGTCCAGGCAGGTCCAGGGGGTGGGCGTGGGCGCCAGCGGGGGGTCCCCGATGAGGCCCGGCCTTCAGGGTCGGCGGCACAGGCCGCGCAAGGCCTTCACGAGAGGAGGGGCGGCCAGGAAGTCCAGGGAGATGTCTGTATGAGCGGCGAGCAAGGAAGAGACCCAGAGACACACAAATAAACAGAGATACAAACAACGGGACTCCCAACATTTTCCCATCTCCTCTGGGTTCTGGTCTCCCCCCCCCCACTTCCCATGTTTTCCCATACTTCCCTGGGGGTCGACGACTAGCTGTGGCTGTGCTTTCTTTCCCTCCTGAAGCGAGCCCGTCTCCGCGCCCTCGCGGTCTGGGCTCTGGATCGCGGTCCCGCGGATGCGCGGTCGCCCGGACGCGTGCTCTGCGGGGCATCCGCGGACAAAACGCTCTGCATTCGCGGGGTCGCGGCCCCGAGGGCCCGGCCCGCGAGGCCGCGGGTACGGGTGCGTCTTTCGCCCTCGAAATTCATGGCCCCCGCCATGACACAGGGCAGTTTTTGATACATAGGATTTGTTCAAAATACCGGATGTTTAGTACATGATTAATTCACGAGTAAATTTATGCACGAACTCATCGTTGTTTTTGATACAAAATCCCTGCATTTTTAATACATCATCCGGACGCGGAGCATGTATCAAAAACGGCACTGTAGTCATCACCCCCTCTCGGCTGGCCCCGGGAAACTGCATGAACACAATCTCTCGGAACCGGAAACGCACGCCACCCGACACCCGACAAGCACGTCGCAAACATTCGAGGCCCCCCGGATGGGGTCCAGGTAGATGGGCTCGGAGGATCGCGCCACATCGACAATGCATCGGCGATGCATCAGCGACGTCGGCGATGCATCGGCGACGTTGGAGTGGAAAGCATCGGGCTCCACATCGAGCCGCGTCGCCGATGCATCAGCGATGTGGTGCAACTCTCCAACCCCATCCACTCTGACCTCATCTTGGAGGCCCAAGGCAAACGTTGGTGCGACGACAAAACAAGAACTCTAAAGAAATCACCAACCATGGGTTGGATGATGCTTGTGACCAATGGCTTGAACGCCTACCGAATGGAACAACTGCACAACCGTGATTGTGTCTCGAGCGATCCCCACCCGAGAACAGCACACGTTGTGCGAGGCGGCTTTTCTCGTCTAATCTAACAACGCCATCCTGTCCAGCAGGAAAAGAAAAGTACACACACATAAAGCATCAGAGCTCCGAGCGGTCCTCGGATCCGCGCTGGGCCCCTCCTCTGGCGCCCTGGCGGAAGGGGGGGCCTTTGAGCAGGACCCGACCGTCCTGGCATGCGTACCACGAAATGTTCTTCGAGCAAACGAGTGCTTTACGAAGCACAGTGTTCTTAGAATCTAATGCCGACTGCTTAACATAATGCGGCCACATCCGCACTTGTCTGAGCACATCTTGTGCTGATCAGATGGAAGGGCTCTCAGAACATGATTTGGTGGGCCCACGGCGAGTCAGGACGTGATCCCGCTGCTTTGAGGCCCGCATCCGCGCGCCAGGGGGCGCTCCAGCGCCGATCCAAGAAGCCCGAGCAGAGCTCCGAGAGATTGCACGCCTACGCGCAACTTTCTGCCCCGAGCCTCGGTCGCGCTCCGCGCCGCGGCTCCCGCCGCGGGCTGCGCGTACTCCCCGCGCGGGGCGATGAAGGTGATGCCAATGATGCGGCGCCCCTGTGCGCACTTGGACACGAAGCAGGTGGTCTTCACCTCGCCCAGGTCCTGGCGGAGCTTGAAGTTCAGCATGCACTTTGGGGAGCTCATGCCCGACGGCTGGCGGTCTGCCGCCTGGGCGACCCTCTCGAGCCGCTCCCTGTGCTCCTCGTTGGCGCAGAGCTCGAGCAAGCTCTTCATAACCCCATTGGCCGCCGCGGTGTCGTGGAACAGCGGGCTCTGGTCACGCAGCGGCTCCAGCAGCCGGAAGGTCTCGTCCACGATGAGCACCACATCGTGTGTCGATACCATCATCTGGATGGCACCCGTCATGCTTGTGAGAGTGCGAGTCAGGCGGGCCACCAGGATGGCGCTAAAACTGAGGCCCTTTGCGCAGCAGTCCAGGAAGGAGTGCACGAGCACCTGCTGCTGCGAGACCGACAACCAGCCCGCCGACCGGCCCAGCTGCGCAACCGGGTACGCAGACCACAAGAACAGATGAAAATCCAGGACCCTACGGCCAACAGCGGCGGTCTCTGGCACCTGAGGGAGCTTGTACAACATCCAGAACATCAGCACGAAACAAACAGAGGACGCGACAAAGAAGAAGACCGGGAACGGCGTGACGCACATCAATATGCCGAAGATCTGCATCGCCGCGCACGAGGCGTAGACGGTCACCATCTTGCTGGGCTCGTCCGGGCTCAAGAAACACAACTTGTAGATGTACCTAAGCCGCCCGCCGTCACGATTTGTTCGTGACGTGGGCTCCTCGAAATCTCTTTCCCTTCCCGGGGCCCAATTATCATCCTCCGTGTTGTTTGACGGCCCTGCGGGCCGTACCGAGCCCCCAGAAGCTAACATAGAGAAAACACTAGCAGCCGCGATCTGCTGTTTCTGACGCCAGGATCTGAAGGTACCACTCCAAGGGCGTGGACACCAACCAGTGGAAATTCCGCGCGATGAGGTGCTCGCCGTCGAGGATGTCCGTGGTGACCACGAAGTAGGTCGACGAATAGTCCGCTAGCCTCTCCACTCGAGAGGATCCTTCGGGCTGCACTTCGAGCCGCCACCGCCAGCATTTTCTGATCCCCTCCTGTAGGTCTCCCCGTCTGTGTCTCTTCCTGTCCTCGAGGTTCGAGAAAACATATTCTTGTTCGGCTTTGGGGGCCTCCATGGGCCTCAATAGACCTCGGGGGACCTCTGAGGACCGCACACGCCGAGAGGGGAAGCGATTGCCTAGAATCGAGGATACACAGACAACATACAGTCGAAACCTATGATAAGAATGGCCGGTAAGGACGCAAGGGCCTTGGACGCTGAAGTAGGCACTTGTTGGGCGGCGGACCGCCAACACCCTGAAGGGCTGGCCAGTGGAAACCGAGAAGGACGGGCCGCAAAGGCAAGGACGCAAACGTAACCTAAGGACATCCGTGCGTCCTTACTATGGATTTTGACTGTATTGGCGGTTGGCCCCCGATGGCGACCCCGCGCCATCCCAGGCACAGCGGGGCACCGAGCCCTGGTCTAAGATGAGAGTACTAGTGTGGGGGTCGACGTGGCCCCCGCTGAGCGAGCCAGCCCCTTCGATCTCCTCCTCAAGCCTGAAGAAGCGGACCCCGCCCCCCCGAGAATAGGCGGGGCAACATGAACAACCTGCCTTGACTTGTTCAAGACTGGCAATGATATTGTGCAAAAATGGGTATGAGGTATGAGTATGACTAGAGCCGTGTACGATTAAGTTGGAGCGTGGGTGACGGTTTCCTGGGCCTCCTGGGGCCTTGCTACATCGCGGTGGTCATTGGGTTGTGAAAACTCGGCCGTTTCGGCTGAAAGGCCCCCCTGGCATCTGGGCGCAAACGATCCCGCGATGCACCCTGCAGTTCCCCCTCGCGGGAGCCTAAATGCGATCCTTGCTACATTGCAATGATCACGGGGCTCTTACACGGTACGTTCTTGTCGACCACCACTGGCATGCTGCCTGAGCGGTCCCCGCAATGTGAGCGCGAACCGGACAGTGACATACCTTAGGCGGCTCTCCCTCGCGGGGTTCAAACGCGATGCTTGCTACGTCGCGGTGGTCATGGTGTTATGAAGCCCGTCCACTCACGAAGCACGGGCACGCTGTGACCATGGGGCTTTGGGATCAAGCTCTCTCCCTTTGAAGCAGCAAACTTGCGTTTCGCCTGAAAAGGCCCCACGATGTCGGCGCGAACAGGCCCGCGGTATACAAGGACCGTCCACGGCGACAGTACAGCCGAGCACCGACAGCGAAACTAAAGCCGACCGACGCCGAGAAGTCACCAGCAGCCTAGGCGGGCGCAGCGGCGCAGCAACGACACAACAATCGACCGATGCGAACCAACCGAACGCGACCGCTAGCCACGCAGCCTAATCGGCTGAACCGCGGACTCTCTTGCATACCTTTGGAGTCCCGAAACGGTGCGGTGACAGACCGTGCGGTGACCTCGGAGCCCCAAGAGACCTCACCGCACGGTCCGTCGCCTCACGGTCTTGGGACCCCGGAGGCCCCTGTCGCCCCCATCCTCGGAGAACGACCCGAGTCCCAAAACCGTGCGGTGACCCCGAATCCCCACCGACTCACCGCACGGTGTGGTCACCACCCCGTTTGGGGACCCGCGAACCCCTGGCGGCCCCCCCTGGTGCCGGGGTGGGGGCGGAATGGGGGGGGAACGCGATGCCTGCACCATTGCGGCGACTGCGAGGCTCTGAAAACAACCCTCTCCGCCCAGGAAAACGTGCGTGTCGCCTGGCGAAGGTGAGGCGGACGCGTCCCGCGAATGGTAATAAGCCACACTTCATGCACTGGGGAATTGGCACGGATGTGATTCCATCATCTTCATCGTGTCGAATCCGCCTACGGAAACTGGAACTGTTCCTGGGAAAGGGTCAAGGGCTCGGGAACCCGCGTACGATTGCCTGAAAGGCACGCTGCCATCAAGTAGCCTCCACGAGGACTCCAAAGACACCGACATTGCCCCCAAATGGTTTGGATGTGGCCCGAGAGATCTCCGAAAAGCCTCCAACTCCGCCGGCCCCCTTGTGGGGCCACCAGGCTGTAGGACCAGGGTTTGCTGTTCCCTGCGCCAGTTCCAGTTTCCAGTTTCCACTGTTACAATTCTGCGTCTTGTTGCTTACTCTTCCTTGTTGTAGACCGCGCGAGGGGGAGAGCGAAAAACCGCCCTGGTTAGCACCTCCCAGGAGGGGTCTCAGAATTTCTGGGGGGGTCGAAATTTACACCCCTCACGCAGATCGGTGGGGTCAGGGTCCAAAAACACCTAGGATTTGCCACATGTCTGAAATTCGGTGGCACCCCTCACGCGGGTCAGGGTCCAAAACCCATAGGATGTGCCACATTTCTTAAATTCGGCGGCACCTCTCACACAGATAAGCAGGGTCAGGATCCAAAAACCAATGGGATTTGCCACATTTCCAAAATCCGGTGGCAACTCTCATGCAGATCAGCAGGGTCAGCGTCTAAAAACACATGGGATTTGCCACATTTCTGGAATTCGGTGGCACCCCTCACGCAGATCGGCGGGGTCAGGGCTCAAAAACACATAGGATTTGCGACATCTCTGAAATTCGGTAGCACCTCTCAAACAGATCGGCGAGGTCAGGGTCCAAAAACACACGGGGTTTGCCACATTTCTGAATTTCGGTGGCGCCCCTCACGCAGATCGGCGGGGTCAGGGTAGAAAAACACACGGGTTTTGCCAGATGTCCTGAAATTCGGTAGCACCTCTCACGCAGATCGGCGGGGGCGGGGTCCAAAAACACAAAGGATTTGCCACATGTCTGAAATTCGGTGGCACTCCTCATGCAGATCGGGGGGTCAGGCTCGAAAAACACATGGGATTTGCCACGTGTCTTGAAATTCGGTGGCACCCCTCACGCAGATCGGTGGGCTCAGGGTCAAAAAACACATGGGATTTGAAACATGTCAGTACTTCATAAAAAAACAACAACTTTTTTTGCACAGCATACGCGAACAAACTCGAAATACAACACCGAATTCAACAATGTCATCATAATCTCAACTTGTCTTGCCGATTACCCATCGTCTTCGCGTGAAGTCCCGACACTGCTTCACGGCGGCGCCAAGGCCTCATGCTTTCGCACTTGTATTGCCCATTATCCGAGAGAGGGGGCCGGCAGCAAGGGCCGAAGCCCTTACGGATACTAAAACAATTGAACTGCACGTTTCCACAGATTTGCGCACTCTCGCCTCGTCGACCTCAGCGGAATCTTGAAAGACTGGCAGTTACCCAAGACTGCCCTCCCAAAAACCCATCTGGCCCAGGATGTTTCCGAGATGGCCACCAAGAAAACGCCCAGATGAAGAACGCATACGTGACCAATGCTGTATTCCTTTTTTCGCTTCCAGGCCAGGAAGGAGATCACCCAAGTGCTCCCAGTGACCGCGAGACCTCCCCGAGAAAGCCCCAGGTGCCCTTCGGAGGACTCAAGATGAGCCCCAAGAGGCCCACCATACCACTCCAATAGGCACCTACTTTGAGTGCGAGAGCCCACGAATTCCTCCCAAGCGCGGCCAGGACAGTTGATTTACATGAGCCACCCATCTCGCCTCGGGGACTCCCAGACGGTTTCAAAATAATACCCGCTGCACAAAACTGAACACTGCCTCCTCAACGTTTCCCACCTGTTCCCACAACTGCTGGGAGAACGCGCCGGTCAAGCTGTGCATACAGCGGTGAGTCGCCAGAGGCGTCTTGGATATCCAACGCTGTAGAAGACCACCCCCGTGACACATACGAACAAATGCGCATGCAACCCACGCTTGATCTCTACATTCCACTTATCCATGGACTCGAGAAGTAGATCCAGGATGCCGATTATAACAACCAGGCCGATGCTCAGGATGATGAAAATAATAGTTGCTATGAGCATCGGCGTCTTGGCCTCGAGAAGCCAATCTGGTGACACGATTGACACGCAGGGGGGCACCATGGAGAAACTGAGGCCGCCTCCTGTGCCGCCGGGCCCACTGAGAGACTGAGGCCGTCTCCACGAACACCACGCGGCCAATCCCAGCATGGCGACTCTCGTGGCCGCTCTGCCGATGCGCCGATGCCGTGCGGCTCTGCGACGAGGTACGCCCCGCGGTTCGTGCGCGCCCAGGCTCTGCTGTGCCCGCAGGATCCTGGCGCAGTCCTCTATGCACGGTTCCATTGCGCCACAAATGAGCAGACCACTCGACACACAGGTGGCCCCCCTTCGGACCGCCACCAAGGGCAGACCACGACATGGGCCTTGAGCCGAGATGGACATGAAACGCAGGGGATGATCAGTCAGGATATGGAGGTGCAAGGACTTGACACGGTAGGGCAAACGAGCGAAACGGTTACGTTGACAGCGAAGCAAAAATGCAAATGACTCATCGACAATACCAATAGATACGTAGCTGTAGGTCGGCGGCGAGCGAGGGGGGAGGTGAGCAGAAGAAGGCCGTCTCAGAAGGAGGAGGGACTTCTCAGAAGCCCTCGCGCCTTCTGAGAAACCTCCTGTGTCTTCGGGGAAGGCTTGGAGAACTTCTCAGAAGGCCAGGGGACTTCCGAGCCTTCTGAGAAGGCCTTCTCCTTCATACTTCTTCCCAGGCTCGCCGCTGAGTAGGATAACCAAAGCGTGCGAATGTTGGAAAGGGGAAAATGGATGACACTATTGGCTCGCAATTGACGTCGGATCGGGTATACGATCGATACATGTGTATGTACATGTATATGTATATATATATATATATACGCATGTGCATGTGTACACATACATGTATAAGCATGTCTAAAACAAAACCTGTTATACTGTTATTGGCAGGTTCTATATGCATCGATATACGCGTATGCATACGATACTCCTATGGATCGGCCTCGCTAGTCGTCAACCGACCTCACCACCATAACATCGACCGATATCTCATTTACGAATCGTAGTATGACTCGATGTATAGATTCCCCAAGCAGTGCTTTCACTTACGGGTTCTTACTTCTGGGAACAGGAACTTGCAGGGTTGGTGGTCTGGCGGCTATGTCGTCGCCGTCGCCGCCTGGGCGGGGTCGTCGGTCTGGCGGCTGAGTTGTCGCCGTCGCTGCCCCGTCGCCGCCCGTCGTCTCGGAGGGATTGTCGGTCCTGCGGTTATGTTGTCGCCGTCGCCGCCACGTAATCGCCTCATCGCGACCTAGCATAATTCGCTCCTTCTAACTTGACTATCTATTTAGGATCTACCACTCCCCCCGCCCGCAATTATCGCCCACTTGAGACGGTGCAAATTACATACGATTCTGGCCCATCGTTCCTAATAGATACCGAACTCGTACCACCCCAGGGGGACCTTTACCGACCCCACACTATTTCTGTCAAACAACATTCAATGATCCTCTGCCGACGCTCAAATTCACCAAATCGACTCGCGCGCGTCGTCGCGCGCTTGCCAGAATTTGTCATGAAATCTTAGCTTTCTTGGGGGGTCCAAGATGTAGACTCCCGATGCATAAAACAAAACAACAATATTTTTGTTTTCCACCTAGTCATCAAACGCGACCAAGCGGGCCTCTCTCGCGCGCATGCCGAAATCGTTCGAACGTCCTTGCTAGCTTGCTGGGTGGAGACGGTCCATGAATATCATGCGGGCCCCTCGCCCGCGTCGGCCGCGCGCGCACGTCGGAATCTCCCCAAACCGTTCATCACCGACACGTGGACACCATCATCGTCATTGCCGTGACCAGCATCGGCGCCGTCGTTGGCCTTGCCGTCGTCATCGCCATCATCGTCACCATCATCGCTACCATCACCATTGCTCCCACTGTTGTCGACGTCGCCATGGTACCACGTCTGCTTGAGTAACCGACTCGCGCTGAAGTGTCCGCGCGTCAGCGCGGCCTGCGAGACGCAATGGGAAGTCCCGAGCTGTCAGCGCCACCGCGGCCACGCCGGTCGCGCCAACCTGGTTGGCAGCTCTGCGCGCGAGCCTGCGCGCGCTAGCGCTGCCGCAGCGATGTGACAGCCAGCGCCAAGCAGTCATCGCAGTCGCCGCCGCATGGGTTTTGCAAACCAAGTTGCGGGTGCGTGGGTGGGATGATTGTGCGAGTAAGGAAATGACAACTGCAAGTTCTGCAAGGTGGATTGCACCGCATAGATTTCACCACAAGGATTGCACCACATAGATTGCGCAACACATTTTGCACCACTCAGATTGCACCACATAGCTTGCACAACATATATCGCAACTTGTGTATTGCACAGCATGGATCGCACTTCATATACATACACATATATATATATATATGTACACATATATACCTTCGTACGTGTGTATGTATATGTATATGTCTACACATTGCACAACATAATTCGCACAACCTAGGTTGCACCACATAGATCGCACCGCATATGCTGTACCCAATGGATTGTACATCCTATTTTGCACAACGTAGATTGCACAATATAGATCGCACCACACACTTTGCACCGCACAATTCGGTTTCCACGCTGGCTAACATGTATAAACTTCCCCATTGGTGTCACTGCCAACCTAACGAGCTCGCTACCCATTTACAGGTCGATATCACGATCTGTCAGACTCACACGTGATCTATCATTCATCACCCCCCACGGTCAATGTATCTAATCTTGGCGGCCATCCCGTGGGGGAAGTGAGATGAGGCAAGCCTTGCCGAGAGGCTCGGAAGTTCTCTGACCTTATGATAAATTTCCTAAGCCCTCCCCGAAGACACAGAGAGCTTCAAAGCCCCCGCCGCCTTCTGAGAAGGCCTCCTCCTTCTCACTACCCCCCCCTCGCTCGCCGCCGATACTGGGACTCATTACCCATCGACTTCACAGATCTATCCACCGATCTGCCTGCCCCAGGTGGGTGGCAATGAGGTGTGAAGTACATGGGGGGTGAAGAGAGAGGCCTTAAAGGGGCCCTTTGGGAGCCAGCCGGGGCCCAAGAGGGGTACGAAAGGGCACCTTTAGGGCCCTCTTCTCCACCCTCCATTCAGGTCACCTCCCCTGGCCATCGCTCGGACGTCCATTCCCTGTGCTATTTTGGGGTGGTTTTTCGCCAAATGATCAAGGATGCTCCTCGATGGTCCTCGCCGAAGGAAAAATGAACACGCCCGAGCGATGCCAAGTCCCATTGTCACCTGCCCGATTGTCAATCAGAGGCCTCCCAGATGGGGTCGGAGTACATGGGCTCGGAGGATCGCGCCGCGTCGCCGATGCATCGCCGATGCATCGGCGATGCACGGCCGACGTATCGGCGACGTCGGCGACGCATCCGCGCCGTCGGCGTGGGGAAAATCGGGCTCGCATCCAACCGCGTCGCCGATGCCTCGGCGAGGCGGCGCCATCCTCCGACCCCACCTGCTCGGACCCCACCTGGGAGCCCTCTTAACCTGCCCATCGGTCCCGCCCTCTGCTCCTCGGGGCATGCGCGCTGGCACCTCCCCGCCCTCCGCCGCGCGTGCCGGCGCGTCGATTGGGGGGGGCGGCCGCCCGGGCCAGCGCGCCTCGGGGCCGTCCACCAGCTCCGCGAGCGCCTCGGCGGCGCTCCCGCGCGGGGGGTCCCGCCACGCAGGCCTCCGCCGATGGAAGCACTTCTCGTCGTAGAGGCCTCCCACACGGCGTCGGAGCAGACGGAACATTGCGCCGCATCGTCAATGCGTCGCCGATGCATCGGCGATGCATCGGCGATGCATCGCCGACGTCGGCGACGCATCGGCGACGTCCGCGTCGGCTCCGCATCGAGCCATATCGCCGATGTATCGGAGATGCTCCGCGATCCTCCGACCCCATCAACTCCGACACTGAGTTACAGTCGGAGGTTGCTAAAGGTGTCCCTGGCCGAAGGTGCCCCCAGCTTTTCGCTCAATCTTGGAGCCACTGGGTCCCCCTGGGCCTCGTGAGGGGTGCTCTGGAGGCCGTGGGGGCCTCCTTGGAAATCGTGGGAGATTTGGGCCACGGGCACTTCTAGCAGCACCCGATACATCTATAGGTACATATATATATATACACTTTGAAAAAATGGCGGGTGGGAAAGAATGGGGCGGCCGCGGAGGCAAGGGAAGGAGGGAGGCCCGAACCGCAGAGAGTCTGCGGGGAGGGGAGATTGCATCGGGCGCTCCCGCCCAATTGTTCGAGTCCATGGGACCCTCGCGGGTCGGTCTGGCGCAAAGAGTGCCGCGGCAAGGTGGGGTCCCGTCTTTCACGACGTCGGAGTTTTGTTCGCGACGTCAGATCTAAGGGTACATGCGCATACCCTTGCCTCGAGATGCCGATGTCGCAGGGCCGCGGTGGACAGGAATATCGTTGGTCCCCCACGGGCCCGACGTCTGCCGCCTCCTGGAGTCCTCGGACTTTGATCCCCCAGGCGGCGAAAATGTATGGACGGATTCACGCATAACACATCCGTCTATCAGATCCTGGCAGGGTACTGCGATTCGCATTACAACTGCTTGACCAAATGCTACCACAACTACGACTACTACAAATACACTACTACTACTACTACTACTACTACTACTACTACTACTACTACTACTACTACTACTACTACTACTACTACTACTACTCCTGCTACTACTACTACTACTACTACTACTACTACTACTACCTCTACTACCAGTGCTACTACTAGTACTACTGCTACTACTACTACTACTACTACTACTACTGCTGCTACTACTACTACTACTACTACTAATACTACTCTTACTACTACTACGACTACTACGGCAACTACGACGACGACTACTACCACTACCACTACCACTACCACTACTACTACTACTACTACTATTACTACTACTACTCTGGCTACTACTAATACCACCACTACTAGTACTACGGCGACGACGACGACGGCGACGACTACTACTACTACTACTACTACTACTACTAACACCGCTACTACTACTAACACCGCTACTACTACTACTACTACTACTACTACTACT